ATAATTCTAAATCACGTGATTTGTGATCGGCGTCGAATATTGAAACAAAGTCACGTGATTGTCGAGTATAGACTTCCAGCACCATAGCATATTTAGTTTCAATGCTTGCATTCCATCTGTAACGTCATCACTATCGAAACGGGTTTCCTCACCTTCTATCCAAAAAGTGTCAAACTATGATTCATCAAACTTATCAGGTTCAGCATCTGATATCTCAAGTACTACTTCTTCAGAACTTATTGCTTGCTTTTAACGTTTATTGATAGCATTCTGAGACTGTCTGATGTGTTTATTTAGTTTTGGCATTATAATTCTGTTAAATTAGGATAAGAAAAAAAAATGTTAACATGAAATGTCGTGATATTAATGACTATCACGTGACTATGATTGATCATGTGTAATTACGTGTTAGAATTTGATCAATAAAATTGCGATTTAGATATAGTAATGATTGGCATAAATTTCAGCGGTGGCTTATTTATTTGATGTGACTAAGCCGTTTACACCATATTTTATTTGAAAAATAAGATAATAAAATAATAAATCAATTTTATTCAAAATGCTTATATATATATTATTACAAGATTTAGATGATTCAAATCATATTATAAAAAAAATATATAAGTACTAGATCATTTTTTGAAAATTTAATTATAAAATAATAAAATAAAATACAACTATAAGAAGAAGAATTAAAAAGATATTTAATTTTATTATTAACACAATCTAAACTATTATCTTAATAGCATCAATATGCAAATAAATTTTGATTTTATCAAAATAATATATATAATAATATCTCTATAAATACATGCACCTAAAGCTAGCCATACATATGCATTTATAGAAGGTGTATATTTATAAAATAATTAATAGAAAAATAAATTTTATTATACAAATTAAAAATCTAATAAAACTTTAAATTTATTTATTAAATTATATTTATTTAAACAGTATTTAAACTCAATATATTTAAGCTAATTGTAAACTCAATATATTTATTTCTCAATAAACTTAATTTATTTTACAATATACAAAAGTAATTTATTTTGTGAAAATATAATTATTTTTTAACAAAAATATATATTAATATCAAATTATTATATTAAGTTTGTCTTTTTAATTCTAAAAAACTTTTTGATCTTTCTTACTAAATTTACATATTCTTTCATATTATTCTATTAAAGTAGAAATATACATACAGTATCTAAGCTAATAATTGTAACACTATAACTAATAATAGAAATTTTATCGTTATTATCTATTTTATCTAAATCTATATTCTTCTTATCAGTATTCTTAATGAGATATATAAGTTCTTTAATAACTTGATCATTTTTAGGAACTTCAAAAATAATATTCTCTTCTGGTATATTAAGAAATTCTTTTATATATATTAAATAGGAGAGATTAAGGATTCGAATTGAATCTGTAAGATCATGAAGTACTAAGTTTTCATTTTAATGAATATTCTTTAAAATATTTCTAAAATCTATATTTATATTAGAAAGAATTTTTATGTGATGCTAATAATTACTATATAATATATGTTATAAAATTGCAAAATAATATAATATTAATACTTCATATGTATTTTGTCTGACAATTAAAAGATAGCAAATAGATTGTGATATATTATTAATAAGAAATGAATTGCAAATTCAGCACTTCATATCTCGATTAGTAATTAAGAATTAGTTCAAAAAGGTATCATATAACTGGTATAATAAGTTGCAATAAATTTAATTAATTTTGACTAAAATTTAGATAATATTTTAATATTTAAGCTAATTTAAAACTGGCAAACTAATAAAAACTCTTTAGTTTTTTTTTAGTTTTATATCAATTTTTTAATAGTTTAAAATACTACCAGATTGATATTATAGTATTAAGTTAGATTTCTTAAATTATATACCTTAAAGATCAATTAAATTTATAGTATAGTATCAGTTAAAATTAGCCAAAAATGTATTATAAATTATTATATTATCTGATATTATTTTTATCAATAAAAAGAATGACAAAATACTGAAAATATATATTCAACTTCTTAAATATAAAAAGATCATAAAGGAATAAAATATATAGATAGCAACTTACTCATGAAAAGGTTATAGAGCAATAAAAATAAATAAACAGTAATATAATTATAAAAAAGGTTTAAAACATCAAAACAAAAAGAAGATAATATTAAATTCATAAGTAGATAATATTATATTTATAAATAGATATTATTATACTATAAAATGATATTAAGTAATACTCTTTAAAAATTGTTATTTATTATTATTTATATAACAAGTATTTATAAAAGATATATAAATAATATTTAAAATTTTATACTTTAAATATTTTATTTAAATAATATAAATTAACGTATATATTTCTAGATATCTAAATATTTATAACTATTATAAAATAAATTATAATTTTGTTGATTTATTATATATATATATATTTTAATAAATTATATATGAAACCTTTATAATAGAAAAGATGAAAAAATAAAAAATGAATTGATATTAAATCTGAACATATTTTGCCCTAAAATCATATTTGACTTATAAAGTAAAATAGATTTTTTTCAGCTGTTTCCTTTCTTTCTATTACAAAGATCCTATATGATCTTTTATAATAGAAATAAAAAAAATTTCTAAAAAAAATTAACTTTATTTTATATATATAATAAATATGATTTTTAAATCAAAATATATTAATTTAATATTAACTTATTTTTTATTTCAACTATTTTTTATTTTTTCTATTATAAAGATTTCATATTTTTATATTACAGTCGAAGTGATCTATAACGAATCTCCATTTTTGGAGATCACAATTCATTATAATAAAAGAATTCAGTAACGTTTCACCAAATTTTTAAGTTTATTCGTTTATGGTTGTATCAAATATTATATACAAATTCGGTATATTATTTATAATATGATTGTTATTTTTATTATATATTCGAGAGGTTTAATGACAAAATTGGTAAAAAAAAAATCCTTCCTGCTATAAAACTTTATAAACTTCTATTCGTTTTTCTCACCTGTCAAATCCATTCCTACAAAAGAGTCTAAGGTAACTTGTTGCTTGGAATAAAATTCTTCTCGTTCTATAGCCTTTCGCAATTTTTTTATTGCCTGAATTTTGGTCTTTTTAAAATTGAATTTTTTCAGCTTTTTGTTCAACATACATAATTATTTTTTCAAGTGCTGCTAATGCTTTATAATTGCCAATGATAGAAACTTCAACTTCTTCTTCAATATCTTTTTCTGGCTCTCTCAGAAATTTTAAAATTTCTTCATCAGTTGTTATTTAATGAATATTTTCTTCTTTTTCATATTGAAAATATTCTTTCGCAGAGATTGGATTTTTGTATATATCTTTAGCTAATTGGTCAATAAGATCCTGTATTTTATTAATATCATCAATATCATCATTAATAAAAGAACTTTCATCATCAATTTCAATATCTTCATTATCATGTGAAAGAATATCTGTCTTTTTCCAATAATTTACAATTGTTTCTGATTGAACAGAATCCCATGCTTTTGCTACATATTTAATTGCCTTTTTAATAGTAATTTTAGACATAGGTTAACCAGTTTTCAAACTATTATCAAATTCTTTAATACGATTTTTTAAAAAAAGTTTTCGATACTACGCCTATATAATAAATATACAGGTATATATTAATTTAATATTAATTTTT